CCTGCCTCTTCTGCCAAACCATTAACACCAGGTATTTTCTCAACATATTCTTCCAATTTCTCAATAGCCTCATCTAGTTTTACAGAACTTTGTAAAACAACACCTTGGAAGGTAATAGATTATTCTCTACTTTGAAACAATGCTAAGGATAAAGAGATAACTAATACTAATATAATATTAGAACTATTAATATATGAACTAAATAAAAGATAAGCGATTAACCCTATTAAGATATATAATGCATAAGATGTAATAACACCAGTATTTAATCTAGCAATGTTATTACTTATATTCAATAGTCCTTTCTCTAGCCCGTAAGGTCCTAAATACTCTACAGATCCTTTATCTATTACTTTAGTAGTTTGTCCACCAAGTTTTAATACGATACCTGTAATGTATCTGTTATAAAATAGCTCTATTAAGAAACGTTGGTTAAAGAAACTAAATATGTTGTAACCCACTCTAGATGATTTAAAACCAATTAATATAGTAGATAAGTATTCAGATAACACTATAGCAATTACACTTAATGAAATAGTGAATATTAAAGGTAATAACTTAAATAGAGTTGGTACTCCAAATTCAGTATCTAACATTATCTCATGAGAAGGATGTATAAATAAAGCATTATCCGAAAAGAATCCTGAACCCAATCCTATAAACATATCCTTTGTAATATACCCAAAGAATATAGAGAATACAGCTAAAATCATTAAAGGTAGGCTCATAAAGATATCACCTTCATGTGCTTTTTCATAATTGATTAAAGGTCCATTAGGATTAGTTAAGAATGTTAAATACAACACTTTTACAGAATATAATGTAGTAAACATTGCTCCTATAGTAGCTATTATATATACAACAGTACCAGAGAAATAATACTGACCGTAAGCGGACTCAAGAATAAAATCTTTTGAATAGAACCCTGTCATAAAAGGGAAAGCTACTAAACTTAAAGAAGCTATAAGCATAACTGAATAAGTAAGTGGTAAAAATGGTCTTAATCCACCATATCTTCTAAAGTCTTGATTATCTGCTACAGCATGAATTACTGCTCCAGCACCTAAGAATAATAATGCTTTATAGAATGCATGATTAACTAAATGGAATAATGCCACGTTATAAGAAGATAGACCTACAGCTATAACCATCATTCCAAGCTGGCTCATTGTAGAATAAGCAATAACTTTTTTAATATCTTGTTGGAATAAACCAATTAGAGAACTAAATACTGTTGTAATAGCACCTAATCATAGACATAACATTAAAACTGTTGAGCTGTATTCAATTAAAGGAGATGAACGCATTAATAGGTAAAC